TTTTTTTTTCCCCCCCCCCCCCCCCCTCGCTCTCTCTTTCTCTCTCAGCCCAAACTATTTTCTGAATCCCTCGTGGTCTTCGTCTAATTCCGTTTAACCGAGGCGCTGGTATGGCAGTACACATTGCCAAGAGACATTGCACGCACACAAAACGCACACATGAGTGTTACCTGCGTATTCCGACGCGCAGCTGCGACCTTCGACGCCCTTGTCGTCGTAGCGGCGTACCGGAGCGACGTCTCGCTCACTTTAACATGAGAATTCGCATCTTGTCGTCGACGTAGACGTCGTCGTTGTCGTCGTTGTCGTCGGTAGTCGTACGCTTTCTGTCTCACACCAGCCGACTCTGCCTTTGACTTTTCGTGGACGTGCGCGACCTTTTTCATAATTTGTCTGTTCCTCGTGCACTCGAAAAGTGCGCCATCATTATCGTCATCAAGATCATCATCTTCATCATCATCTTGAGCGAAACCAACAACATTGCGGAGATCCTCGGAGTCCTCGAGATCTCCGATTAACCATTCAGGATTACTTGTGCTCGGCGTCCCTGACTTGTCGGCATCGGACAACCGTTCCTCGTACACTACGTGTCAAAGTGCCTCTACGGTGCGTGTCAATTATTCAATTTTTGTCACAAGTGTCATCATTTCTAACTGTGTCTATGTATTATTGTTTTATTCGTGCCTTATATACATTCTTTTCGCGCGTGTATAATATCACGTAGTCTCTTGGATGTTCCGTTTAACCGACCACTCTTCGTGCAGTTGAATGTTATTCTCTTGATTGTTTGGCGTAATTAAATAATTGAGCTATGCTCCCACCGGTGAGAAATATTGTTTTTAAAGTGTTATTATTTTACTAATTAATCTTAACCATTAATCAATAACCGGCATCCAGCTTGGCGTACCATTATTATTGCGGCAGCATTGTGCATTCAAAATTTTTTCTTACGATTGACGTTCCAGTATTTTTATCAAGTTGAGAAAAGAAAACACGTGGTAGGGTGCATACGGACGTAAATATAAATTATGCATCACCCGACTAAAATGAGTTTTGAAAATACTGTGAGCGAATATAATCACTTCCCAGCATAACAATAGTGCTTGGTGTCAGTTCTGATAATACCTTGTCTAATCTACAGCTATTCTCATTTGGTGCACCCTTGCACTCGAGATGTACATACGTTCATCGCATGATGCACTTTTCCAGCTTTACACATTAGCCGTGAATGCGAAGCTGCGAGTGTACGTGAATAAGGAAAGAAAATAATATGCACGACATCCCGTATATGTACATAAATCCAGCTACAACGCGGCATTGCACTTGATCCAGCAGACTTCTCGTTTATCGGCATCCTTTTTCTTGCTCCTTGTAAATAATTTCATAACGACGATCATCGACTGCCACCAAAATGATCAATACGTCGATCCATCCATTATTTCTTTTATTTACTAGAGAACAATGCGCGTCAATCACTGTTCAAATATCTGACTATACTTACATGTTGATAATATTGTTTAATGTGCATCATTTTTCATTCGATGACCTATCCTTAGACCGTTCTACTTTAAACGTTGCTTTGGACTCCCGTTGTATATAAGATAATCGGTCATTAATTTTATAAGACTATGGAATCCGTGTCTTCTGGTAATAACAACACGACTCGAACACGTGTAAAATAGTATAATTATCGAAGCATTAATTAATATTTATTATACGCTCGTTATTAGATAAAAATGACAAAATTTATCGTTTATCAAAATCGCATAACAAGCTGTAAAATAAATAACGTATGCGCAGCGTAATTTTTCTTTCGCTGCAAATGATCCAATGGACTCTTGTCTCTTTTAAAATCTCTATTGATAAGACACAGCCGATTGCCGTACGTTTATCATGGTATAATATAAAAAGTACTAGGTCGATATGAAAGAATTAACAAAACAATCTAAATCGTTTAACGACAACAACGATAATTGCGTGTCAGTCAATTGGGTCGTGCGCTAATTAACCCAACTAACAAGGCAACGTGCGTTTGTATTTATAATATGTTAGACATTTAAACACGTGCTGCCTATAATTTCGTCACCAGAATAATAAATCATTGTATCCTCTCGTCAATTGTGCAGACGCCACGGCGCTCGTCAATCATTAAAACTTCGAAGTTTCATGATCCTTCGAAGGTCACCTTGTATACATGTATACGCAGGTCTGCGCATGCGCATATCGAATATCACTATAGGACTTATAACTAACCTGAAATGACCTCAGGTTATCACGGGGTCAACCGGTAGTCCCGCTAAGAGTAAAAGAAGAAAAGCAATACGGGAAGGAGTAACGACAATGACCAATTACTCTCCCTTCTATCTCAATTGGACGGTTAGACTCTTATCTTCCTTTCGTGGCACTCTTACAGTCCTCGACAATGTCACCTTCAGCTTTGAATTTCACTAGTGATTACCAAGCCGATATTAATAAATTTGAGAATAGAGTCTCTCATTACAACCAGGGAAAATTCCGTTGGATTTATTTATTCGTTTCTTTCTTTCATATCGTTGCCGCTAGATACCGTTGGTGGGAAATTCAGAATGACAAATGACAATTCTCCTTTGTTAACTCTTTGCGGCTTTATCAATGTTTTGAAAGCTGTAATCTAGCAACGCGCGCGGAATGCAATGCTTTTGAAACTAGAGCGGGCAGACGCCTTGAAGAATTGGCCGAAACTATTTCCAGCCATTGCGCCTGCCAAGGAGCGAATTGAGGTGCCTCGTACTCTGGTACAGACTGTAGATAAGTTAATTCTAGGTATATTATTGGGATGTATGTACATATATATGTAAGATTTATTACTACCATCGCGATGCACGACTATGGTGATTGGCCACAGCTTCTTTCTCTGCTTTTATTTCTTCCCCTTCTTTCTCTTGCCTGGATCTATTTTTGACTGGACTTGCAAAAAGGTCGATGAGCAGGTTAGTTAGTTTGGTCATACAGTAAGTACAGTAGATCGTATGTTCCTGGTGACCGATATTCTCGAAAGTGATATTGACTGTTCCCAATTTTAGTGCAAGATCGATATACATCACATTTTACTTAGCGAATTCGATATTCTTTATTACGCGTTAATATTTCCGGATAAAATATCTTTTTATTTAGATCTTTCTACATCTTGCCGAATAAAATACAGGAATCTTTATTTTTGCATCAACCAATTCTTTTTGAACGGATCCTTTTCGTTGCGTCTTTGATACCCATTAAGCTTGGGATTGCTAAACTTACAAAATTTACCTGAAACTGAATGCCTACAAAGACAATTTTCATTAATTTCTTTCATCGTGCTGAAATTTCTCCAGGGTCGCGACAATGCAAAATAACTTGATGTATCCTAATGCAATTTTAATTTCCCAAAAATGTAGTGCAATTTCTAATTACCCTGGCTCCTTCTCTATCCGCAACACGTAGACAGGTTAATAACCTAACGTTGGCGCGCTCTTCTCCATGTCCCCCGGTGCGTTCAGAATATTCTCGCTGCAGTCTAACGAGACGTCTTCGTTCAAAACATTATTTCTCGAGGGCTCTAAAGTGGCACGTTAATCGTGCACCAGCAAAAAACTCTTAAAATCCGTATCATAATAAACAAATAGAAACAAAATAACATATTATCAGTTCCCTCTACTCGTACCAATTGCACCATACAGATCTGAAAGTGATTGTGTATGCATAATAGAAAACTTAAACATTAGCAGTTCAGCCAGTTACATGCTAAAATCACAGCGAATTTAGCTGTGCAAATTACCAAACTTGTTTTTCCTCTCGTTCTCTCTGTCCCTCTCTTTCTCATTTTAACCTCAAGGAATATTTCATTCACTTCCTTCTTGGCTATTTGCGATCAAACCGATCAATGGCTCTTTTATGTTTTTTCTCTCGCATGCATGCATAATTGCATATATGTAAGTACATATTTAACTTCAATCTTATGCAGTCGCTGCATCCGGTGAGTATTTCTGCAATTTGTTGCACGACGCGCCCACTTCCTCTTCTACGTTTTTGGCAGCGCCCAAGGTGCATCAACAATTCGTCATGTGACACACGTGCCCGAGACGGAGGGTGACTAGGCAATGAGAAACTAAAAGTCAAAAGGTTTTTGCACATGAGATTCGATCGTGAGGTTAAGCAAGAATTCACAGGGATACGTGTGGCTCTGGGCTCCATTGATACTTATGCAACTTAGACACAGTCGCGAGTGCATCGTATCCACACACGTGTCCAGAGACAGACTATCGTATACCGTAATAATATGCACGTCTACACGTCATACTATATGCAATATGCATATACTACAACTCCGAGCTTACCGATACTGTAACGTTCAATGACTCCTAGAAGAGCACGATCCTCTATGAATCTGCATCGTGTGGATAATTCGAATAAAAATAGTAGTAATCGACCGGACGGGGTTGCGAAAAAAAAATGTATAAACAGGTTATTTATAGATTTTGAAAATAGGTACAGAGCACAGTAAAAAGTGAGAATAAAATTGTACCAGTTGAAAATCCGGTTATATCGTCAGAAATATTTAGAGAGCTAAAATCGTACGCGTTCAATACAATCAATTGAAAAGTCACGCGATACGTATAAAACTTTCTTAAATGCAGCGACGTCAAGAACGGTTATGTCCATTGGTTGGAGCTTAGCAGGACATGCTAAAAACTGCCGGGGTCAGTAGGAGGAGTTACGAGCAGCTAGAAGGTGAGAAGTTACAAAGAAGGCAAGCAGAAAGTCAGAAGAAGCTGAGAAGGTGGCGAGTACTATTCGTTAAAGATGCCATGCGAGAATCGAAGAGCGGAGAAGGGACAAAGTAAAACGATAAATAAATATGCGCTTTTAAGATGCTTCGTATAGTTTACTGCAACCCGGCCGAGTGTTGGCGCTGGTGTAGCCTTCTGTACCGGGACTTTCGTAAACTATCACAGCTACACGACTCGGCGTATCGCGAGAGGCGAAAATAAACGCAAACTGTGGCGCGCATATTCAAACAGTCATGTATACGTGGAGGTGTTCACGCGTTACAAGTTTGTGAGTGAAGTGAAACGTCGAAGGCGTATCAAGTAGAACGAGTAAGAGAGTGACGAACGTATAAATTCTATCAATGTACGAGTATATGAGACTTTTGTCGACTTTATTCAAACGTACGAATTATCTTTATTGCCCTGGGAGTGCGATATAACACGTGGTGGTCATGTGATGAACTACCAGCAATGATATTCTTGGGTCATTACATACGTATCTCTAATACGGACATGATTTTCTTTTGCGAATCTATGAACGAGTTTTCTTTTAAATTTATCTCTGTTGATTCAATGTTTCTTTCCAGGCGTTTTACCAGGTGGCCAATTAGTTTTCACCGGGTCACGTGACGTACGTGGTGTGAATGTTTGACGGTGATTCGTCAGATAGGTTTAACGATATCGGATTGATGAGTTCAGTGGGTCTGAAGAGACATTTTTTTATTTTCTTTTATCTTATACTTTTTCAAAACTCCTTGGTTTGGATCTTTGCCAATTCTTAGGACTCGGATCGATCATTGTGGAAAAACTTATCAGTCGCAGAACCAGTGGTTGCTATGCGATATGGTAGGGGACTTACTCCAGTCACCTAACACGGACCAGTCTGAACTCCAGTACGTTCCTGCCGGTCGTCGTACGTGCATACATGTTAACCCGGCTTGTCTTTAAGTTTAACGAATTCTGCTGTTTTTATTTACCTTTTCGTTCTGATTGTGAGAATTGCCTGAGACGCAAATAACGAGTACTAACAGACTGCGGGGATTTGCGCTTGTTGTTGTGTTTTTGAGTAAATTTTGACTGCTGGCGAATTTTGCAAAAATATATTTTCTTCTACAGGTGGAACGAGGTAGGGTCGAGGATCTTCGTACGAGAAATCAAATGCGATAATCAATCTCGAGTGGCATTGCTATCAGAGGATTTCTGTCCGTATCTTTTTTTTATACGTGTTAATAAAAAAATACTAATTTTTATAACGACAATTTTAACGTTCATTACTTAGTTACTCAAGTGTACGGTACTCTACTATCTTATTCAACCGGTTTTCGATAGAAAAATTCTTTAGTGACGATTGAGAATACTATCGGTTACACAAGTGTGAATTCGTGTACATGGTGATATTTTTGTGATTTGTGCTTATAGACTTTTATAAAATGATGCAGTGGTACGGAAAGTCACTGTTGGTGTTATTGGTTCGTGAATCAGTTGGCTAGTGTTAAACACTGTACAGTTTCATTAATATAAATATTTTACATTATCGATTGACAATGAGAATGATACAAATGAAAGGTGCCAGCATGAATTTCACTGAGGAATCTGATTCTAGACAGATGAACGGTCATACTACGGTAAATATTTAAATTTATATAAACTTTAAAAAAATTTGGAAACAAGCTTTTAAATTCTAGTATAAATATTTTTAAACCCACATCATTCATATGTCAAACACTAGTTATCTGTATCGCTGAGAAGATATTTAAAAATAATTTTGTTAATCCAAACAAATTATCGTTAACTTTTATCAGCACCGCGCGAATGCATAGACTGAATGAAAAGACGACACTGCGTACGCCGTTGAAGAATACCAGATCAAGATTCCTATCCGGGCCACCTTGACACCGAAATGCAAATGTGAATGATAATCAGTGTACTCTTGTAATGCAAAAGAATCGCTCTAAATATACATATAAAAATATAACACACTGAAATAATGTCCATAAAATCGTCAATACTTTTCTTTAACAATTGATTAACAATTAAATAGTAATTTTAATAATTTCATTCCTCGTGACCTAATCGGCACCCTGCTTGGGCAGCCCTGGCTGTTTTATCAAGTGAGACTTGAAAAACATTAGCACAATGATGACCCTGTTATTATGCACTGTACATTAAATCCACCTCTGTCCCTCTCTTCCTCGTCAATGATCGCCAGACGTTTTGTCATGATGTTTCATGAAAATACGACTGCAGCCGAACGGATCGTTCTGAGCCGATTTTATTATCAATATCGTATACATATATGTATACATATATGCCAGACGAATTCTAATGAGTAAACATTCCGTCGACATCCTTGAGATGAACATCTTTCTTTCAACGTCGTTTCTTTTTTTCTTCTTCTTCTTCCTCGTCCTTACTTTCCTCTTCCTCTTATTCTGTCATGTAAATAAAACGTGAATCCACACACCCGCTTTCGGATTGATATTACTAAACAGTCATACCTGAGCCTAAGTCATACCAGGATCCATATGCTAATTACGCAACGGCGATAACTATGATTACATAACGAAAAAAATGGTAAAATTTCAAAAGCAAGAATTATAAATTAAATTGTTAGCAATGAATTTAAATAAATTAAATTTTTTTTTTATAATAATTTTCAACGACTGCAATTTTTATTATGACAATTTTATTTCATTATGTCAGTTTAACCTTCGCGTTCGTCCTTCTCTGCGCTTTATCTTTAAGAAGAAAATATCTACGAAGTTTCGGAATTGTTATACTCGTTATAAATGTCAGGCTAAATTTATTATTTTACGTTATCCTCGAAGGCTGTATCATTTCTCAATGCACCTATGTACTTGGTAACCACGATTGGACCAGGGTACTGCGAGTCAATACCTGTGCGCTGGTTACTCTGGTATCTCTATGAGCTATAAAAAGCAAACAGTGTACTTGACTCGTATTATTAATCTAGCATACGTAATCGTATCTCCTAATCGTGAATTCCACCGGGACCATCCTCCGTTATTAAATTCGCAACACGAGAGCTCTGCGAATACAGGCCTTTAAATTTTTCTATGCAACGACTTCATGCATTTGTCAAGCTGTATCGAAAAGACTATCTCGACAGTCTGTCGAAGTCCTGGTAATTAGTTATTAATTAACAGATAGCACGCGGATTATTTATCAGCAGACACTGATAACGTTTGGAATGTCTTTACGTTTGGTAGTAATACCTTGCGAAGGTCACGGAAAGTTATGGAGCCATCTGTGAATTTGCAGTGCGACGCTGGATTACGTTGCTACGGCGAATAAAATTACGTTTTCAATTCATCATTACGAAAGATCAAGTTTAATAATTTGTTGTGCTTTGGATTAATAATCTACTTTAACCCATGCTATTTATGTCACTTTTTCTTTTCCTTTACGTGATATTAGTATCATTTCTTTCGCACGTGCGATTAAGCACGCAATGTCTGTTATCTGTCTAAGCGCCATCGCTGATAAGACGTTATAGTAAGTCTAATCAGAAATAGTGCAAGTTCATTGAACGATATACACCAATGATGGTAATTGATTAATTTAATGCACGAACTTTTATTAATTTTCTTTTTTATCTTATCTAATTTTCAAACCCGTCGCAAATTAGCATTAAGTCATTAGTCATTGTGTAATTGGTTACGTAGCTCTTCGTATCTTGAGTTTATGATGTTTGTCGTTGTGACTATTATGGTTGAGGATTCGTGACCCTAGACTATCGTGTTGACCTTAAGATTTCACGACTGGTAATATCGTCTAGTAAGAATCTAGCTACCAAAACATTATCAGTGAGACAAAAGTGTTATCTTGACAACGATAACGCATGTTATATATAGAACAATTTTTCGTACCAATTGGATTGTTAATGATTATTCATGACACTTTACTATATTTAGCCGATTTAGATTTTATTATTAGTCACTGATCTCTTAGATTAATGATCTTCATTTTCCCTCTGATTTATCTCATTGTGAATGTATGATGAAATGTTATAGTATGAAAAATTGCATGTTATGAATCTGTAATTCGAACTGTATGAAAAATCATTAAGTTGTATCTTACGTTGTACTACACGTTTATCGAGTAATCATCCTAGTATACCGATTTTGACAATCAAATCTACGAAATAATGATCTTTCCAATGTTGATAAGATCCATCAATCTTTTTGAAGTTACAATTATCAAGAAAGTAAATGCGATAAGGACTGGTCAATGATTTTGCGTGTCCAACGAACCGAAGCCAGTCGTACCAGAAGGCGCAGACGTAGCTGTTTCAATGACTATTTTTACATTTGGATTAATTTAACCATCCTCCAACGCGTCATGCCACTCGACTCTGTTTCTGGACTCGGGTCACTCGGTGTATATTGAACAGACCGTTTTGAGAAGAACGGGACACTGCAAGATTAAACCATAGGGTCTTAATTAGTAAAGTTAGAATTAATTAGTCAGACGATCAGTCCTTCGTTATAGTTAATCACGATGAGCCTAACCTGATCTAAATCAATCCTACTCTACATTAATCTGACTTAACCCAAATTTGACTTTCATTTTGAGTTTATTTGTCGTTCCAGGATACCGAAAGGCACTTGGATCATACGGAGGTATCCTCGAGCACCAGGATAACCGAGGATTCGCCAGGCGCGACCACGGGGTCCGCAATCATAGCCATGGACTCGGCCGGAAGCAGCGGGTCCCGTGGCGGAACGTCAGGGGACTCATCGTGCGGCCTTGTCAGTTCCTTATTCCCCAGTAGCTGTCGAGGACGGGCGGAGGCATTCGCCCGTCGACTTCATCACCGGTTAACGTCGCTTGGCGGTGATCAGGATTCAGAAAGTCATGAAAGTCCCGGTAGAAATCTCGGTAAAGCTTCGGAAACATCGTGGCTTCAACCTGCTCATGGTGGATCTTCAAACAAACCAAATCACGTGCACGAACGACAACCAAGACAAAGTTCAGACTCCGACCTATATTTTGATTTTGACATAGACATCGACGACGACGTTCCAGGATCGCCCGCTGAAGAAGCCACGGACGCCGAGCTTGCTGAACTACTCGTAAATCCTAAAACACTTAAAGATAATCATCACGAGGCCTGCCATTGCTCCTCCAATATCAGAACACCGATGGAACCTCAACATCAGGATTCCGAGTCTGGCTGTGTTTTCTCATCGCCCGCCACTGGAACGTCGCCTGATAGTGATTCTGAAGTCTATTTTGATCCTGAATCATCAGAGACCGATAAAAATACTACAAATGGATTCTTCGATCCTATCACGGCTTCGGACAGCGACACTTCAAATTTTTCAAATGGTGAACTCGCAGCTAAGATTTCAACACACAGGCGCTCTTCACCCAGGCCGGAAGAGAAGTGTCGTGACATTGATCAGGAGACTTCCGAATCAAGTGAGTCTGTTGATAACGACAAGAGACTCATAGACAAGGTCGATAAGGATTCTATTAAAAATATAATCTGTAGCTCATGCGAAGATTCTCTCAATGGTAAAAGCTCTCTAGATACAACGTCGCCGAGTCATGAGTCATTATGGAGCACTTTTGACGATAGCACTTTATCATTACAGGACGACAGTCCTTCCAGGATCAGTAATATTAATAGTGTATCTTTGAGACCACAACATGTTCCTAAGTCGCATTCCGATTCTGAGATACCACTCAATAGGTACAGAATAGATGGTGGGCCTAGAAAAGACCCCTTCGTCGAGGTTGATGAAGTCGATTTTCATAACCGTATCGGTAACGGCCAAAAACCGAGTAACGATACTGATAATGTAAGCGGCGTTATTAAACACGAAGACTTGCAAGAGATGGCCAAGAAGGATGAACAAGTTTGCGAGTCCTTGGCTAACCTTAAGGACATCATCACCACGAATCTTCAGGTACCACATACCGATGACCCTGGAACGAGCGATACCGATACCGATCACTCCACTTACAGTAGCACCATCAATATACCTGGTGCTCTCACTTTGGAGTATCCTTCGGGTACGCGAGTTCAGTGTAGTGACACTGTGAAAAATGAGGTCAAACTGCAAATCAAAGATGGCGAGGTGCTCAACGGTACCGAAGAATCCAAGATGATACAGTTGCTGAAGAGACTCGGTACCTCACCCAATCCAGATGAGGATAATAACGATATATGCAAAGAGGATAAAGATTTGGAGGATGACTATGATCGACCTCAGCGAGTGAGAAGGTGCTCATCCTTGAAAACAGGAAAGACACCGCCTGGTACACCTGGTCACAAGAAAATTGTCAGATTTGCCGACGTCCTGGGTCTTGATCTGGCCGACGTAAGGACGTTCCTGGACGAGATACCCAAGATACCGAATTCGGCGTACTCCGACCTGATCTACGACGACACCCTGCTCAAGGAACCAGTCAAGAACAGTATGTGGACGTCGTGCTACCAGGAACCACATAGGGGTACCTCGGTTAAAAACAAATCCGATCGCACCTTGGTCACACTTTTCCAACAACCCGGTGGCCTCCCGAATTTTCTGGACCTGGTGCGCGAGCGTCAGGTCTGTCTTGAGAACGTCGTTGTCCAGGACCCTACGAACCTCTGTCTCCAGGGTACCGTACGCGTGCGTAACCTTGATTTTCACAAATCCGTGCATATTCGTTACACCCTCAACTCCTGGTTGAACTTCAGTGACCTTCAGGCGACCTACGTGCCTAACTCCTGCGACGGCTTTAGCGACAAGTTCGCTTTTATCCTATACTGTCATACACTTAAGATCGGTCAGCGATTGGAATTCGCGGTTAGATTCCAGTGCAAGGGTGCTCAGTATTGGGACAACAATGGCGGCGTCAATTATTGTTTTCAATGTCTACCCATCGCGCCTAACGTTGGTTACATACCGATTACCAATGCCGAGTCTAATGATGCTGATTGGTCCCCAACGTTTTACTGATCTGTGTCTCGTGGATATTCGTTGGGCTGATCAATGTTTTTTCTTCTTTGGCACTTAGAAAAAAACCCGGTTGTATCCATCTTACGTGGTTTGACCTTATTGTTCTGTTTATTTCCATCTTGAGAACGTGAACCGTTATCGTGACGTTGTTCAATTCATATTCGCAACGTGCTACCACCAAAAAAGATTAATTTTATTAAATGGACCGTTTGAACTTTTAAATAACTGATTTTAATTTAGGCTTGTTTGCGTATCGATTTTAAATTAATCGCTTTGAATTCTGCGACCGGTTACGTTTCCACGGTTATCATCGTTCTGTGATGAAAATTAATTATAAAACTAATCAATTTGTACATTTTATCTATTTCTTGTCAAATTTGTTGGACCTCTTTTTTAAGAAGATCCTACGACTTCCTATTATGATTGAAAACGATCGATTTACTTAACTACAATAACAGACTGAATGCAGAACCTTTTAATGACTGTTAACGAGCACCTTGTTGTTGAACTGCGCTGAAAATAAATATTACATGGCAACGTAAAAAATAAATATTTTTTATCGATTAGTGATCTATGTACTACCTATGGCGATCGGTTAAGTATTCGATCGCAACTTTCAATGAAAAACTTGTCCAGCGTAAATTTTCGCGAAAATCGAAATGATATATGATATATATATATTTTTTCCATATATATACATATATATATATAGATATATATATATATATGTCAGCCATACTAGTTATAACATATATATGATATATATTATATACACACCCGTACAGTATATATTAATTCTATCTTTCGTTATAGAGATAGATTAAAAAAGAAAATGGGTAATGAAGATAATTGAGTGAACCAAAATGTTATAATGAAAAGATGAGCTATATGTAGATCTATTTACAGATTTCTATTCTGCTTGAGGATCGAGTCAATGACTGTTACACTGTATCGTTAAGCGCTGATTCACGATTACTATAAGGATCATGACGATGATACCAGTGAGAGACAGTCGTGATATAAATTTGAAAATGTGATCCTTACCGTGAGAAAATAAAAACTAATTATTGATACACGCTCGCAGTTAAAGTATACGATTTTTTTTATATGCATTACCATTCGCTCACTCTTCTCGTATCTAGTCATTTAGAGATTTCAAGAAAAAAGGATTAAGCTAGTCTCTAAAAAGAAAAGGCGTCTCGTTTATCCTTAAATCCTCAATGTCTGTCTTTACACGGTAAGCACCACGTGGTTGATGAGAAAAATCGGCTGTGAAAAGATATTAAGAAAGTAAGCAGAAAATAAAAATCGGTGCGAGTCCCGTCCGATGATTGGAGCACCGGTGCACCGATTGATTGAAGTGACCCGCAAAAAAAATTCGATTATTTTATCAATTCGTATAATTAATATAACCATAGCAGTTAGATGATATTTTGACTTTTATTGTTTTCATTGTAACTTGCTGTTTTTTAAATTTAGAATTTTATAGCTATTTCACAAAAAGGAATATACTCCTCCCCCTCCCTAGATAGTCCTCCCTCTCGTTTTGTCGCCGGTTATCCCGTAAAATGTCCTTTTTCCTTCTATAATTTTCTTTCGGTTTCCCTTAACGTGTAAGTAAATTAAGGATAGACTATTTTCTATGAAATAAGAAAAAAAAAAAGATAATTTTCTCTCCTTATCTAGCCCTTGGTCGATTCTCTTTTGTCCATTACTTTCTCTAGCTGTCTGTTCTTTTCTCAAAAGATTTGATAGACTGTCGCACATGTATTTTAGACGTTTCGCGCAATGTGTATAAGATAACGATTAACGAGAATTGGTATTCTGAATGAAAGAAAGAAAAAAGAAAAATAGGGATTAATAATGAATGTCAAAGAAAACGGTGAAGAACAAAACTACGAATAACAATGTACCTGAAGTCCAACAATAGTTTCTATCCGATCCGAGAAAAATCGAGTCGCGCAAGATGGTCCCGCAAATGTTAAAAAATAATTAAAAAATGTCTCCCCCGATTGTAAAAAAAGTGGAGATTATAATAAAAATAACTACGTGAAAATACATGTCATCTTAATTATAAAAAAAGAAATCTGCTTGACGTTTGTTATTTACTTAGATAACGGGGGTACCTAACGGTCTAATGAATAGATAATGAAAAATATTTTTAAAAAACAACCGTGACAATACTGCCAAAGATCACACACACTGACTGACCTTTTGACTTTATATTTTTCGTATGTCTCCCGTTATTAAATCCGTTATTAAAAACTTATTGTACGAGCGTCATGTACGGAAGGCTGATAACGATAATAAATGAAAAAGATCAATTTATTTTTGTTTTTCATTCGGCTACTACGAATCTGTCATATAAATTTCGTCGATTTATCAATCGACTTATCTTTTGGTAAAATAATGGATGAAAATAGAGAAAGAAAGAATGACCGATCGGTGCAATAGTACCTTTAAGAATCCGTTAATCACTTCTCTACATATGGATCGAATACGGCGAGAACGTGAACGAACAAAACATGAATTGTAAATATTACACAAAATATCGACACACAGAGTCACATATGTATTTAAAGTGGATATGTAACATGTGTGCATACACAATATTTAGGTATGCGAAGAGAATAGAACGTATATGTATAACGAGTATATATGTAATGTAAAAGCACAGAAGCAATAAATTTGTAATTCATATATATAAAATATACATATATAATAACTATATATATGTATATAGTGTATATGTACATATATATTACGATCATAAAATGAGAATACATAAACTAACCTAGAGTCAGCTAATGACTTAACGATTATTGTCAAGATCAATTAAAAAAAAACAGTTTATTGTTTTACATAATCAATGTCTGTTTTCCATTTTCCCTATTACAGCACAGTCAAAGATCAATCGACTGACTCATAACCGGCACGATTAACTTCCACATACGTATACTTTTATTTACTTTCGATCTGCTTTTGGTAAACAAGAGTAATTTAAGAATTAAAAAAAAAGATGATGTTCATTAAGCGAGATTTATATAATTTTGCGATAACGTCGCGGTCGTTTTTCCCTATAATTACATGTCGACCTTGGTATATCAACTTTAATCGTGGCTGACCTCTGAACCTTCGATTCGATTCGTAAGCCGCAGTACGTAATATGAACTCCTATCGATATCACGGTATTAAATAGAGGATCAAAATTTTACGCTATTTTCAGATTTTTTGTTTATTATTTATTTAGCAACTCTTCGTAAACGGCTCGTCCGATTAGGCAGTGCCAGTTATATATAATACATTTTTTCAATACTATTTCATGACCCTATACGTATATGCATTATACGTACGTTAAATTTACTTTCGACACTGAGTGCCAGCCTGGGAATCGTTCCAAAAATTCCGATTTGCGCGCACGCTGTTTTTCAGTGAAGGAACTGTCAGTGATGTTGTTGCAAGTTTATTGATAGTTTATCGTGATCGTGATATATATTTTTTTATTTCAACACATTGGGAAACACTCGGGCGCCATGAGTATCTATATCACTTTCTACTTAGTGCGAACTTCGAATGTGTATTTTCTTACTTAGCAAGGCACGAAGATAATTGATTAACGCAGATTGGTCCGATGATTATCATAGAAGGGTGGAGATGAAATTTTCTAAGTAACACACATTTCTCATTACTGATCTATATTTCCATGTCCTTATTTCAAGTCTTTATTTTTATAGCTTTCTTTTGTATTGACGTAGAATTTCTACGTGCATTGGCCAGCGTGTCTACAGATATGTATTACTCCGACCTCTCGTTGTATCGCTCGACACAAAAAACTAGCCAATATTTTTATATTCACTGAATTTTGATTTATCACAAGTTTCTCCTTCGTCATTTTCATTATGTTCCTTATCTTTCGTTTAGGAATGCACGTCAGCGATAAACATGTATATAGCGACATGTACATCAGTGACAGACACGAGGAAGCTTTGATCTCTGTGATTCACTTTGAAATTCAATAAAGTAGAATGGAACAGGTTAAATTTATGTATGGACTAAGATTCAATTACATCTAGGTAAATCACATCGTATCAAACATTCTTCACGGCAGTACGAGCATCGATCAAATTTCAATTAATATTCAATTCCCAAGGATAATCAGATTTTTCTAAGTTTCATCATACTGGTATCACAAATTATTGCGAATATCGAAATTTCGATCGGTCGACAACCTCAAAGCTCTCAACTGATTGTGAAGTCTTTGACGGCAGAATTGATAGAATTCAACCTCCCTAGTGAAATTTGCTCTGACGAGTTCCTTGACCTCTTCGCTGACAGGTGGTTTGAAGAAATTCCGATTGATCCTGGTGAAGGAATTTACTTGATCTGTAGTAAAAAAAAAAAAAAACCAGGTAAGAAAACAATGAGAATATTATATGAAGAAACGTATGAAAAATATATTAAAAATTCATATACCCCAGTAGACGTCGGTGGCTCCTTGAAAAAATGCTGGTATATAATTTTCAAGCACGGTCAAAGTCGTGTTAACATCCTCGAGGACACCGACAACTGCATAATGTTTTTCCACAGCAAGCTTAGCCCTCTCCAGTGCTCCCACCGTGTTGAACGGACTAACGAAATTAATTAGAAATAAAAAAAATATTTTTTTCTAAAATGTCAAATAAAAATTGTCTACTCGCAATTTTGAAAACTTACGTGCACTTTTCACTGTGTCCACAGAAAAATAAAGTTTGACGACGATGGTCCCCTATTCCTTCGTGTACCTCGCCTTCCAAATAACGACATTCACGATCGCCTTTGAGCACGCAAGTCTCGAAGTCCTTTTTCAGCCAATTGGGATCCGGAAGTGGTAAGTCCGGAAATATCTGTTTCCGTTCAACGTAATACCAGGGAGCACGCACGTAATAGTACCAGGAGATTACACGTTCCACGGGATCTCTCACCAGGTTGACGTAAATCGGATCAGGTAAATTAAATCTGCAAGGTCATATAAACGTCAACCATATGATTTAAAATATCTTCAAGAAATCTCTAAATAGTACGTATTTACGAACTCCGAGAAGTTGGTGAAGCACACGTGTTTTATGTAGACAGACGGCTCCACGAAACTGTTTACCAGAGTAGCTAGTTGTATCTATAAAAAAAAAATGAAATTATTTTTCAAGAATTTTCATATTTTGAAAAAAAAAAGGAAATAATTGAACTGGTATATAACTCTACCTGTTCTATCGGTGCCAGGCGTATAGTCTCCACTCTCTGTACACGATCTCGATTGAATGAAAATCCATTCCTCATGGACAATCTTCTCAGCAATTCCATAAACGTCTGCGAGCCCACTTTGGGCACGCGATTGAAGAAGAGCACCTGCTTGCCAGCGCGTTTTGTGTTGTTTAGCGCGTCTACGTCGAGAAGTCCATCCTCTTCGGGATACTGTAAGAAGAGAAGCTGCGCGTTACATAATGCATTTCTGGTTTTGCTATTTGACGTCGGGTCGGCTGGTTGATCGTAATTTTTTTTTTCTTAAACTTTCCAATCTAGTTTTCATTTACTTCCGAGTACATCCGAGAGTACGGGGACAGGCGTTTCCCTGGAAATCCTGTATAGTACGTTCCTACGTATGTATATGCATAAGTAAATATAAGCACGTGTGCAGTCACGATGGTAAGATCGCGTGACATATAATGCTCGAGTGCACTTTTAGAAATTACAACGTATATTAAAAGACAGCATTGTTCTTCTGTTTTGAGTCGTAAAATTTTTAAGAATTTTTTTTCGATTCTTCGCAAACTCGTAAATCTTCGTCTCGTACGCCTAACGGACACTATTAGTTCACGTTACCGACCTTTATTGATCATGAAAATATATGTATAACCTATTTATCCACAACGCGCTACGCCGTTACGTTTGTATACATCGTATGCATCGTGTGGAGTAGCGAGGACTGAGAGTGCGTGCATAGAAAAAAAGTGCACTCTTGCATGCAAGAAACTGCAACGTAGTATTAAAAGAGTTTTCCAAGCATCGCTTCGCTCTTTTTTGCTTTCAGTGGCCGTTATTTTTCTTCCATTGTTTTGGCGAAAAATAATTGTCAGTATTTCAAAAATAAAGCAAGGCATTTACGTCGCAAGCTCTACGTAACTCAAGATAATCTTTATATAGATATAGATACATATTGATAGTGCGGTCAGTCCTTCGTCGTAATTTTGCTAGGTAATTTTTTTTAAAATCAATTTTTTATTTCTCATCCAGCTCTTACGCAATTGCATCGGAGAGGTCAGCTGCAATGTCGGTTAACCGATTTTGCGGCGAATCAATTTCAATACCGCATTCGATCCGCGTTGGATTTTCAAAAATGACGAATCGATATCCACGCGTCGATCGATTCATAGATAACAGATCTAGCGTAACGTAATATTTATTTAACACATAATAAAATAATCTGACCTCCTCCGTGGTTGTGGTGGTGGTAGTGCGATGCACGTTCTGATAATGCACCGGTCCGCTGGATGCAAATTCACCGCGAACGGATATCTGCACTCCTTCTGAAAAAAAGAGCAAAGAAGTGAAAAACGTACAAATTTACAGTGCAAGGAGAAACAGTAATGATGAGTCAACCGCGTGATCGGTAAGATTGGAGCGATTTGTGCCGTGCCGAGGATCTTTCTCAGAAAGCCATTTCTCCAAGCCTTTTACTACGGAAACGCTCTCCAATCGTATCTCAGCTCAAGGAACAATGTCACGGAACAAGTTTTGCACTTTACGGCTTAATAATCTTTTATTACTTTTTTTCTTCTTATCCTTCCATTTCAGCACATTGACAGTTACGTTACTTTACTGACAATGAGTATCGGTTCTCATCGCGTTGCGATACATAGAGTCGGAGGACTTGATTAAATGATAGCTATTAAAGTAGCATTGGTACACTCGATATTACAGAGGGAACATGAATCACGCCTAACTCAAATTACAGTCTTGCTTACAATATTCTCCTATTACTTTCTCAAGACCCAGTTGCAATCAATTCGAATGCACTTTCGTCATTGCGCAGTCAACGTACTCACCGGTTTAAAAAACACAAATTCATTTCATTTTCTCTGGTATGTCTGGTCTGTTAAGAAAGAAGACCTAGTCCAACCTGTTGAGATATATAAAATCAATCTCAATTCCGAATAGAACAAAGACGTGTTTTCATATGCCGGTAAAATCATAGCTTTCGACTCTCCCTGATATTCGTTTTGAAACGTTCACGAATCATGAGACTCAAAGTGAAGAACTCGATAGGAAGCATCCCATATAAATTTGCCCTTAAGTGCAGTTGGTATCTTCCTTTGTGAATTCCAGCAGTGCTGACCACTTTGACCTCTCCTGAGATCTCCCCCCTGACATCTCATTCCCATGCTGCCCACCCCTCTTGTTCCGTAAGAAGACCCACTATCAAGTTAGCTCCATAAGTTTGCCGCTGGAGCAGCATACGAGGCGCCGTTATTATTGGCTCAAAAACCGAGTTGCAAGTGCAACGACCTTCCTGAAGTGAGGTGCACACCAGTCGAATGCTCTTGAACCGAGAGATCGAGCGAAGGTAGGTGAGTATGGTGCTGTAAATGCGTGCCCCGGTTTATCGGACTTACGCCCTTTTTCCTTTCACTCGATTGGATCCCCAGTCGCGGGGACCCGCTGACCCAGAACTTGGGAAAGCGGCCTTACCGCCCCCCCCCCCCCCCC